TGTTTATGGACTAAGTTAGTATATACTGATATAGTTGTATAGATTTTAATTTCTTAGACTTCCATATAGTTTATATCCAATTTTGCCAATTAGGAGTACTGCATATGGAGCAAGTTACCCCTACATGAGGTAGGGGTACAGATTTTAAAGCATATTGTCAATACAATTTTAGGAGAATTAACGATGATACACCCATGACATTATAAAGAAAAGGTCAGGACTTGGGGCATCCACGCCTGACCTTTGAAGACATTTTAGAAGCTTTCAACTGTCCTTGCTGACAGCTGTTGAGGCCTTGACTTCTTTGTGAAATAATCCTGATCTTCATAAAATGGGTAAAATCACATAAGAAAGCCATTTCTCATGCCTTTGTGTTTTTTGAAACTGATAGGATGTTATTTCTATTGAATATTATATTTGAGAACCCTGTGGACTTAAGGTCAGAAGACATTCTTCTCCTTAACTAATATTCTTCTGTGTTAGGTCTGGTTTCCTGGAATTAGAGATTGAGATGAGAATTTTTAGGAAAGTCCTGTACTGAGTTGTTCTGAGAAGAGCAGTGAGGGAAGCAGGGTAAAGCAAGGTGGGTGGGTGGGGGGGGGTTGGTAAGCAGGATAATTGTCGTGCCTGGAGACGGGCGTCAGCCTGGGCCCACTGGGTCAAAGGGGAGAGCGGGAGCTCTGGGGCACAGATTGTCCCACAGTCAGTCAAGGGAGTGGCATGTTCTACCCGTGTGTGGTCACTCTTGGGCTCCTGGCCACTTCCTGGGAGCAGTGGTGCCCTAACCTGCCAAGGTCAGCAACTCCGTACTTGTGAGCCCTTAGCACCCAGCACTCACAGCAGCCAGGACGGATGCACAGCCCGGGGGGAGCTTGGGCAGGACACCTTGGCAGCCTCTGTAGGGTCCTACCCGGAGACGGGCAGTCACAGGCCTCGTGTGGCCTTCTGTGCCTTGCTTGCTCACAAGTTCTGAGTTTCATATTTAATTCCTTTAGTAGCCTTCAACCAGGATTATTTAATAGTATTCTTTTCTCGCCTTCGTAACTTTAGTCTTTCACCTGTGTCATTGTTTTTGTTCTTACTGTGCCAGCAATTGTAAGTAGTCCTAAATGCTCTTTCAAAGTGGGTGGGTCTAAAATAATAAATATGTAAACTAAAAGCTAGTTTTATAATTAAAGTACCAGAGTCCTTCTTAAAAATCAAGTAAGTGTTGGATAGAAACGATATTTATTATTACAATTTATCCTAATGAGTTATGTTTTTATAATTACTCAAGAATAACACAAACAAGTATTATAAACCCAGGGAAGAAAGAAACAAAATTGCATTTTTGCAGGTGACACTTTCATGTACATATAAAGTGCAATGAAGTGAATAAAAAAAATTATCAGAGGTAGTGAAGAGATTGCAACAGGTTCACAGATTATACCCTGTGATACAAATCTCAAAAGTCGATACAGTGAATTTATGCCAACATCATGTAGCTAAAAATATAGTAGTAAAAGACGTAATGAGAAAACACTGAATCCAGAATTGAATCTGTCTATACCCCAGCCTGCTCCTGCCCATACATGCGTAGTGTGCTGAGGGCCTCTTCACCTGCCCACCTGCCACGTCGGGCATGGATCACCTGGAGGACATCTGAGGCCACCCCCTTTACCTTTGCTTGCGTAACTAGCCACTAGTTAGCAGCTCTGACATCACTTACGTTTCTAGTAAATCTATCCATTCTTGTACCCAGTTCTCCTGACCTCATTCGTTGTCTCTGTCTTGACCCAAATTACTGATTTCTTCAGTCTATATATATAATACAGTATCTACTTATTATATATATAAAATATATATGATATATAGTATAATATGTATTATATAGTATATACTTATATACATAATATATATATCATATATATACACACATACACACATACTTATACACACATATCTGCTCTATAGGTAAAATAAGCATGATATTCTGGGGCTTTCTGGTGTTTTCTTCTTTTGGTTTGGTAACTTGATTTTAAAAAATGAATATTTAAATAGAATTCAGATATATTAGACCATATATTCAGATATATATATATATATTTCTCAACCTCCTCACAGTTGACATTTTTGGCTAAAAAAGTCTTTGTTGCCCAGGCATTGTAGGTTGTTTGCAGCATTTCTGGCCTCCTCCCCGGGTCCCAGTACCGCCACCCCTGCTGTGGCCACACAGCCGGCTCCGGTGCCTCCCCGTGTTTCCTGCGCTTGGAAACTGCTGGGTTAGACCGGGAACTTCCCAGCAGCGCTGGAGCATACTTACCCCCACACGCCTTGTGCACGTCGTGTCATCGAAGCCTCACAGCCCCTCTGTGCGCAAGCGCCGTCATTTCCTCCTTTTCAGCGGAGCAGGCGAGACCTAGATTCAGTGACACGCACCGTGCAGCCTTGTGCCCGCGGGAGCTGGCGCGCACCTGGTGTGACTCGAGAGCCCGGCGCCCTGCAGCGGAACCCGTCCCTCCGCCTCCTGGCTGCCGGCCTTGCGCAGATGGGGGGCGGGGGGGGGGGCCTTTCCCGTGTTCCGGGCCCCTCCCGGCTGGGAAGAGTGCCTGCCTCCTAGAGACCTCCTGGGATCTAAACCAGTCCGGGTCCATCCGCAAGGACTGAGCTAGGCCGTCATCGTTCGCACTGTTGGCGGGTCCCTGAGGATACGAAGGTAAAAACGGCACCTTGTCTCGCAGTGTAGTTGGAGATGCAGCCATGTGAACTGGTAACTTGTTTAAATAGAGCATTCCCAGGGAGGACGGAGGTGCAAGCTCCAACTTCAGGGAGTCGGCGCTGGGTTCACAAAGGAGGTCCCAGTGAACCCCGAAGGTTGAGTCGGAGCGTGGGCGGGCAAAGGGTGAGCGTGGGAGGGTTCAGGTGGAGGAATGCAGCAGGGGTGCGTCCTGGAGGGACAGAGGGACTCAGAGCCATTTCATCATTGCTGTGTCCAGTCTGGATGGAATTAGGCCATCAATTTGTATGAAATGGCTGCTTTTCTGAAATTCAAAACACCCCTATGCCTTTTTAAGAAGAAAATACTCTAGAGCAAAAATAAAAATTATTTTTGAAGTATAGTTAGAATACATAAACTTTTAGCACTAGGACTGTCAGATACATAAACTGCATATAAAGCCAGTCACAGTAAGCAAAGTGAGAGATGTACAGGGGCCAAAGCAGTCCTGTCACGTTAATTTGCATAAAAATACTTTTTGTCAGTTTTCTTGATATACGTGTGCTTAGAAAATAATATGGCCATCCAGGGGCTCCTGGGTGGCTCAGTCAGTTAAGTGTCCGGCTTCAGCTCGAGTCATGGTCTCACAGTTGGTGAGTTCCAGCCCCTCATTGGGCTCTGGGCTGACAGCCTGGAGCCTGATTCGGATTCTGTGTGTGTGTGTCTCTCTCTCTCTCTCTGCCCCTCCCCTGCTCATGCTCTGTCTTTCAAAAATAAATGTTAAAAAAAAATTTTTTTAAAGAAAATAATATGACCATCCAAAAGAAACCCATACTTTAAACTTCTATGTAAATAATAATTCTTTTTCTGATTCCCAGATGAAATGGTACCTTTTCATTTTAGCCATTCTATTAATAGCTAATGACATTGTTGCTGAAGAGAATGAGTAAACTAGGTATAAAATATTTTAGTCTCTACTTCTATAGGCACAAATGAAAAATATGTAGTCACATGAAAGATATTCCTCCCACTTCCTGAGTTACTAATGTACGAAGAAATGACCCTTTTTCCCCCTTTACCATTTTATGGTGGGCAATGACTAAGTCTAAATTACATGAATCATGATTAGAAACAATGTGTTCATTGTCCCCTTTGCACATTAGAAACTCCAGTTTTTATTTTCTTAAGATATTTGAATTACATAATTTAACTTATATTTTTAAAAGTATTCTTTATCCTTTCTGTTAACTAATTGAAGCAGTTGACTTATAAGAGAACAGCAAAGTTTTGGTTGAGGAAAAAAATGACAACCTAAAAGTAACTTTTATCCAAATACTTACCAGTGAGAGGAAAGTGGAAGACCAAGTTGTAGGGTATAGAATCTCAGTTGGAGGATAAATGAACTGAATCTAGAACATCCTCTTGCTAGCAGCAAAAGATGGCACTTCTTAAGCATTCTATAGCAAACTGTTATTATTGTCACTTTAAAAACAGTTTTTTAAAAGTTTTTGTTTTTTTAATATTGAGAGAGACAGACAGAGTATGAGCAGGGGAGAGTCAGAGAGAGAGGGAGACACAATCCAAAGCAGGCTCCAGGCTCTGAGCTGTCAGCACAGAACCTGATGCAGGGCTCGAACCCACGAAATGTAATATCACGACCTGAGCTGAAGTCAGACGCTCAACCAGCTGAGTTACCCAGGTGCCCCTGTTGTCACTTATTTTGTACTTAATGCCTTCAAATCCTGGATATTTCAGTTTACGCTTGGCTTGGTTTTGCTTTGCTGTGGGAGCATTTACCAGTTTCTTTTCCTTTGCCCTGCCTGCCTTATCTTTGACCACCCTATTGTTGGCTCATGCACAGACACGTAGATTATTTTCTAAAGTGAAAAAGGAAGCAGGAGGTCACAGTGGGTGAGAACTTGGGGAGACCGGTTTGGGCAGCACCTAAGAGAGGTGGACATGTCTTCTTTGCCTCGGGTTCCAAGCCAGCTTGAGGACAGAAGCAAGTCACTGTGGTTGCAAACAGCCGGCAAAAGCAGCTGACAACCCTGGATTAACACAGAAAAAGGCGCTTTTTATACTTGGCAATTTAGTTCTTTTATAAAATCCAATTAAATAACAATTCAGAAGATCTGTCAACAGTTTATCTCAAAAGGGGAGAAAAAACACGCATCAATGAATTGTCTTATATAACCTTTTTCAGTTATAAGCCACTAGATAAAACATGAAAAAAGTAATGGAAAAATAATCTTAAAACAGATCTAATTGTACACAATAGTTTGGTGCCATTTTAAATGACCTCAATTATATTTTTTCTCTAAAATGAAAAGACAGAAGCCAGAACGGCCACCTAAAAATTCCATATGCATTACGCAGTCATTTACACATAGTCTTTGAGGTGGTACGCCGAGGTGCCCTCTGGCTGTGTGGTGGATTCATGCCGCTGCTTGGCTGGATGAAGCCAAGCCTCTGGAGTCTGTTTCATGCAGGAAGTGCAGAAAATCATGCCAGAGATCAGCAGCAGCGTGGCCGAAATGAATCCGACGTAGACGGCTCCTCCGGGTTCATGTTTGTTGCTTTCTGGCACTGTCAGGTCCAGGAAGTTTGCGATGATCTCCTTTGTGTACCACACTGTGGGGATTAAGCCAGAGACCCCTGCAGACACAAAACAGACCCCTCCAGCAAAGGCAGCATGGCTCTTTGTGTCTCCGTCCCCCCCTAAGCGAGTGCATTTCATCCCCACCGCAGAAGCGCAAATCCCCAGCGCGGACAGGACGCAGGCCAGGACCATGGTGGCCCGTGCGGCCTGCACGTGCACGGGGAGGGACAGAATAGAGTACTTGAGGGCGCAGCTGAACATCCCGGTGCTGTACCATGTGCAGTCCATCCACAGTCCTTGCAGCTGCTCGACAGCTGTGATGATGTTGGAGCCCGAATCCACGCTCACCTTCCAGTTGGGCAGCAGGGTGGCCGTGAGCACTCCGGACACCCCCGACAGAGCCAGGGCGAAAGCCAGCAGCTGGAGACCCGCGGAAGCCATGCCCCTACCTTTATCTGTGTTCCCCGTTACCTGGTGCTTGACTGTGGTGGCCCTTATCGGTGCGGTAGAGGACCAAGTAACAAAGGCTAAGGAAAGAAGACAAAACCAGGATTGAAAGAAGGAATAACAAAAAGGCTTACGTTTCCGTGCACGGGGGGGGGGGGGGGGACACACAGAATAGGCCAAGCAGTGGCTGAGGATAGCCTGGCCCAGGAGGAAAGCTCGCGTCAGGCCCTCGGCGGCTACGGCTCATTCTCCTGAGTGCGCATGGGTGGCTCTTGATACGTGCCCGCTTTGTTCTTTGTAAGCTTAAGCTGTGCTGAAGGCTGTAATGTGGGCATGTGCCTTGTTAGGAGACTTTGACATATCAAATTCCAGCTGTAGGATCTGATAAAGAATTTTAATAGCTTACAGGTTTTTTTAAAATTCATTATTTCTAATTAAAATATTCCATAGGTAATAAGGAAGATGAGTTTGAGCCCATCTCTTAACAATGATTTATAGGGGTACCTGGATGGCTCAGGTGGTTAAGCGTCCAAGCTCAGGTCGGGACCTCACCTTTTGTGGGTTCGAGCCCCATGTCGGGCTCTATGCTGACAGCTCGGAGCCTGGAGCCGGCTTTGGATTCTGTGTCTCCCTCTCTCTCTGCCCTCCCCTGCTCACACTTGCGCATGCGCGTGCTCTCTCTCTCTCAAAAATAAAAACATTTTTAAAAATTAAAGAATGATTTATAAATCTATATTAGAAAAGTTTTAAGTATCCAAAAAATGATTGTATTTTAAAAATATTCAGGGGCGCCTGGGTGGCTTAGTCGGTTGGGTGTCCGACTTTCGCTTAGGTCATGATCTCGCGGTTCGTGGGTTCAAGCCCCACGTCGGGCTCTGTGCTGACTGCCAGCTCGGAGCCTGGAGCCTGTTTTGGAGTCTGTGACTCCCTCTCTCTGTGACCCTCCCCTGCTTACGCTGTCTCTCTCTCTCTCTCCCAGAAATAAGTAAAAAAACATAAAAAAAAAAATATGCATTAAGCACTTACCATGTGCCAGACACATAAACCAAATAAACTGCTTAAGGAGGAAAGGAAATTCGTGGAAAGAAGTTAAAGCCACAGGCATGATTATCCCTAATTTCCTGTTAATAAACTTTAACAAAATCCTTATCTAGGTTAGCACTCGTTTCACTGCGGGTACAAGATACTCGGTGCTGGAACAATTAGGCCACTGTCTTCTGCTTATGAGAATGAGAGATCCTTTCTAGCTGGGACCAGAATCCTTCCCTGACCTAAATGAAGTGTCTGCCGCAAAACCGGTTGTTCAGAAGGATTTGGTAGTCACATTGAATCTTGAAAGTACATGCCAGAAAAAAACCACATCACTTGTTGTACATGAAAGAATACCAAAAGTAACCTTTTTTTTTTTTTTTAAAGAAAAGATAGCACTGAATTTGTGGCTTGGCTGTGCTCTAATCTGGCAGTACTTACTACCTTCCTTGAGGGAAACCTAATGGTTTCTGAAATACAGGAATAACATTTGTGTCTTTCTGAATTAATTTTTGAATGATGTATTAGAGTGACTCCGTCACGATTCCTATATTTCACAAAAGGCAGTATGGGGCTCTGAATCCACAATACTGGGCTCAAATCTTCACTTTTCAGAACCTCTCTCTGCCTTAGTATCCTCTTCTGGAAAATAGGATTATAGTATGTATATTGAAGAGTTAAATGCATTTTAAGGGCTTAGGGAACAGTATCTAACACCTAGAAAGTACTCCATAAATTATAATTGACACTGTTGCTAGTATGTTTTATGTCGTGTGACAATTGCTATATAATGACATTAGAAATTTTTTCTCTCTTCCTTCACTGAGCTGATTTATTTTCATAGAATCTTAGAGCTGAATGAAAGTGTAGATACAACTTTAGGCATCGTCATTTTTGTACTTGGGAAGGACACTGAGGTGGTAAATCCCCAGAGGCCATGCAGGTCTCAGCAGCAGTGTCCAGGTGCTCGCCTCCCCCCCGCCCCGCCCGCCCCCCAGTACTCAATCCGTGTGCACCCAGGGAAGCACAGAAAACGCTGCATCTGCAGGCAGAACGCACCATTAGCTGTCAGCTTCATCTCTTCCCTGTCCCACCAAGAAGAAGAAGAAGAAAAAAAACCACTTTAGAGGACATTAATAGGGCAAATGCTTAGTCTCAGACTCAGTCAAGGAGGTTGATGCCTGGCTTTTGTAAAATATCTGCAGTAATACTAATCCATGCCTATGTTAAAAGTACAAACTTAACATAGTTAGAATATTGGTTCTCTAAGAAGTTAAATCCTGGGCTGTCTAAATTCACTTGTTATATTTTTGTTCATAGCTTTAAAACGTGACAAATTTAGAAAAGGGTTTCCTGAAACTTTACATCCTTAGGCATCAGACTTATAGATACATCAGAGTACTTCGGCTTTTGGTGCAGCCTTAAAATTCTTTTCTGTTTTCCATACCTCTTTTCATACCTGAGACCAAAATAGCACAGGAGTTAAAGTTTCTAGGGGAAAAAAATGAAGTACATGTTTATAGTTCCATAATAGTTGTTTTTCAGGTTTGGGTTTTAACATTTCAGATTCCAGGCAGTTCCCTAAATTACTGCCTTCCCAGACCATTGTCAGCTTATGGTTTCTTCAGCATGGAGATAGATGGCTGTTAACATTCTCTAAGAGCATCTCATTTCTCTCTTTATTTTTACTTTGGTTGAGTAACCTTTATGTGTTGATCAATCTATGCTTAGCTTCCCAATTATAACCTTTTTCTTCCCATTAACCATTGCGTTTTATAAATTTCAGTGTAATTCGGGCTTGCAGACAGCTTGTTCATCTTAATTAACACGTGCTGGCAGTGATGAATTACAGACAGCCACAATCGGTGTAAACAATATGACATTGCATTTGGTTAGCATAGTGCTTGCTCACTGCTGAATATTGGATTTTAAATGCTTTCTACTGCACAGAGAACTTGTGCAGAAAAAAATGTGTTCTCCACAGTGAAGGTCACTGTTTCTTTTCCTTTTGTAAAAATATACTGGCATCTTAGGTCTCCTGCTGTGAATTTTTTTTTCCTCTCCAGCCACAAGTGTGATAGAGTTTGTGGCCTGTTCTCTCAAATTTCTATCTCGTACAGAATAAAAGCATACTTTGTTTCACTGGTGGTGGTGGTGGTGGAGGAATAGGAGGAAATCCAGCAGAAGCAGCCGAAGGGTGCATGTAAAACTTAATTCTAAACAGGAGGTCTCAGCGTTCCACAGCACCTTGCTGCCCAGCACAACCTGTGAGTGTTAACTTTGTGGACTTAATTTGCCAACAAAGTCTGGAGTGGATTTCATTAAAATGTGAAGTCAGTTTTCCAGACAAGATCTGCTGCTTATAACAAAACTAGTATTTTAAAAACAGATTTACAACTCATAGTTCAAACTAAATGATACCTAAAAGTCTCTACTTCTATTTCTGAGCATCGTAGAAGCCTCTCATTTTCCATACCTGTTGTCAGGAGCCTTCAGCGTCTTAGCTCCCTCTGTCAGTTGTCTTCAAAGGCAGCTGTCTGAGGCGGAGAAGCCGCACGTGAGGCTCCTGTCCAGCTTCTGAGCGTTAGGTCACCGCTGCGCCAGGTTAACTCGCACATAGACACCAACATGGGAGTCTGAGGTGGAGACTGCTGATGGTGCTAGAAGATAAATACCAGGTTCTCCATCTCATTTTTTGAGCTGTGGGAGAATTAAGAAAGGAGAGGCGGGGAAGGGAGGGAGTTGTTGTTACAACAGGATTTGTCGAAACCTGAAAGCTGAAATGCTTTTGTGTTGCTGTGCAGAGGAGGAATTCTTTGCGTGCTCACAAAAGGGCTTTCTTTTCCTTTAATATTATGTTGCAGTCCACAGTTATAATTTATTTTTGAATTTTTATCCATGCTGGAAGATGCAGTTTATTATGTCCCCAATTAAAGAATATGGTCTGAAATATTTTTAACTAGATTGTGCTTTGCAAATGATAGTCGAGACGATCTTTTTATTCTGGTGCTTGTGACTCGTCTGAAATCAAGAGTCACAAAATTGGGGGCTTTCAAAAAGACATCCAAAAGACTGTTTTTAAATAAAAGGAAGACTATATTTTTTAAATAAAAGAAAAAAAAGGAAACCCAGCAACAACTGTTGACTAGAATCTGATCAGTAAATCTACAAGTATTTTGTGGGGTCAGGGAGGGGCTGTGTCCTGAATTTTTCGTAGTTATTCCTTCCACTGAGAAAGATTTCTGGAGTATAATCTAATAAATCAGTGCTTTTAGAAAATGTGATGAAATAACACCAAAATGATGTGGAGCATATTAAATGAAATAGTGAAATCAAATATTGAGGACCTAGTACCATGAATAATGACACAGACACGCTTCATGTCTATCTACTTTGGGTTCACATTTTTACTTTCCTTCACTAATTTTAATTTTACAAGCTATAAATCCTAGCCACTTTATAAAGAAGGTAATTTGATTTTTTTATTTCCCAAATAGCGTAGCCATATTAAATGTTAGCCATTTCTTTAAAAACAGTAAATAATAAAATGTGCATTTTGATTAGCTGGATTTTTCTTGATTTTCTGTTTTTAGTTTTTTCATCTTTTCTAAATCTGGCATTTAGCAAGGTATTTTTCTTCTTTTAGAAATCTGACACCTGGGGATTTGTTTTTTAGCCACAGTATTGTAATTTTAATATATGAACTTTTTTCTTCCGTCTCATGGAAGTATTTAAACAGTTCTTTGTGTGAATACTGGGTGAAGTAGAATTGAAGCTCAGGCACTAACAGGACCGGCATTGTAATTTCTGCCGTAGCGGGAGGATCCCGCCAGCCCCCGTTAGCACCTCTCCCTGTCCGCCCTGCGCCACGGTTGACAGTACGGACGGCCCTGTGCTGAGGCTGACCCGTGGCAGGTGGAGCGCCCGGCTGCTCGCGGCTCCGGCCTCCAGGGTGCGGAGGCCCTGTTTCCGTTTTCAGAACATTTCTGATTGCCCTTCTGCCGTGATGGGAACACTTAACCCTATAACATCTTAACTGCCTCTTTTAGAAAAACAAACTCCTGAAATGCAAGTAACTTTCAAAAATTTTACAGACCTTTAGTCGAGGTGTGGGATTCCTGGTACAAAAAGAGATGGAAACGTAGAGGGTTGTAGAGCAATAGAATTCATTGACCTCCTCTACTTCCACTGTGGACATGTTATGAGAATTAAACCTTTTAAGTCCACAAACTTTTGTAGATAAATCTTATCTTTACCTTAGTTTAGGCCTCCTCACTGGCCCTCTCCCCTGACCACCCGAGTATATATCCAGGTGCCTATGTGACCTCACCGACAGACATTTCAGGCCCACTGTGGACAGGGACCTTCCTCACATCCGTTCTCAGCTTCCTCGTGTCCATTCAGGCCAAACTCATCCCGGCAGGTCCCAGATCTTAAAAGCGTCCTTGGTTCCATACCCAACAGCCGTTGAATTAACAAATCATCTTGTTACTAAACTTCAAAATAGGATCAAGAATCCTCCCACCTCTGAGTCCCTCTGCTGTGACTCCCTGGCTCGAGAACCTCCCAGGGGCAAGGATGTCCGTCTCCTGCCCCGCCGAGTCTTCCGTGCCAGGAATAGTCAGGGCCCAGTAAATATTTGTTAAATGAATTCAGAAACTAGTTCTGAGTATCTAAAATAAACTATACCTTTGTATGATTAAAAGTCTAAAAGTATAATTTTATCCTTTCTGAATGAGGTGGCAATTTTAAGTAGTTTTGTAGCTAGCTCTTCAGTGTTGTCATTCGAGCCCAATACTGTTTATAAAACTGCTCCCCGTGTGCTGGATACTGTCTGAGGCAACTGTGCAGCTCGCTTCTCGCGACGAGCCTGTGAAACAGTAGGAATCCTCATTTTGCAGATGGGAAAACTGAGCCCCAGAGAAGGGAAGTAACTTGACGAAGGTTGTGAATGAGTGAGCAGCAGGAATGGGACTGAGGCCCAGGGTGCTGTGATTTTGGAAGCCCTTCATGCGTTCCTAGCACTTCCCTGCCTCCACTTACAGAGGAACGTATTTGTAAGTCTCGTTAGAGTGAGCCGCTCCTTTCTGTGGTAACCTGGAGAACGTTGCGAAAACATAGCCCCAACCTCTCCGTGGCTTCGCATAGAAACACTTCTCCTCCATGCAGAGTCCGTGACGGAGTACTCCGTCCGTGACGTGGCCGGTGACCCAGCAGCCCAGATCTCTTCTTTCCAGTGTTCTCACTCAGCTGTCTTTAAGAAAAAGGTGCATGTGATTTCCTTAGTGTGTTTTTCTCAGTAATGATCACTTGAAGCTGAGACAAGCTTTTCTCTTTTCTCTGAAAGACCTAATAATTTAATTGAATATTTTAGAACTAACAACAGTACGTCCTTCTGTATGAGGTTGTTCACCAGACCTGTGTGCCTCACCCCTTGCCCACACGTGGCCACCGTCTAGCTTCGACAAGAGCCCGGGGTCCAGGCCCAGGGCTCTTGTTTCATTGGTCTGGAGGTGCCCACTCACGGTATGTTTAAAATGCTGCCCACTTGATTCCAGTGAAAAGTTGAGGTTCTGACTTTAAAAGCAGTATCTTCTCTTACTTGCTTTCTGTTCAGCTTTGAAAATAATGCAAGTGCAGCGTTGGATAAAGTAGTTCACTGTTCCAGTCCCACAAATTTAAAGTGATTGACTTAATCTTAAATGATGTTTTCTTCGGACCCAGTCTTAGGAAATTAATAGCATCAGCTAAGAGCAGGATCGGTTCATTATTTTCCTCCATATTTATGGTCATTTATGGTCATTTTAGTTTTAAAATAATGTTGCGGGCTAGCCCGAAGACTTTCTTAACTTTTAAGATTGGTAGCTTACAGATCAGCTTGTTGTAGCGAGGACTTTGTTTAAAATGAAGATGAAGTCTTTGGTTTATGTGTGTTCTCAAATGTCCAATGAAGCCAGCCCAAGTCTTTTGATTTTTATATCAAATCGGGTATGTTTCCTCATAGAGTACTACCCCCCACCTTTATCCACAGGTAATATGTTCTAAGACCCCTGGGGGTGCCTAAAACTGCAGAGAGTACCAAACCCAATATATACCATGCGTTTTCCTGTGTATACATACCTCAGGTTTAATTTGTAAGTCAGGTGCCGTAAGAGATTAACAGCAGTAACTAATGATCAAGTAGAACCCTTCTAACAACACGCTGTCATACAAGTTACATGTGGTCCCAGTATCTTACCATATCACTCTTCTGTGATGATGACGATGTGAGATGACAAAATGCCTGCGTGGTGAGATGAAGGGAGGCTAGTGACGCAGGCACTGTGACATAGCGTTAGGCTATGCGGACACTCTGACGCTATCAGAAGGAGGGCCCTCTGCCTCCAGACCATGGTTGGCCGGGGGTGGCTGAAAGCACAGAGAGCAAACCATGGATAGGGCGGGGGGGGGGGGGGGGGGCTGTGTAAGTTAACACTTACATTTGTTTATTATCTGTTACCTAGTTTTTACGTTTTGTTTTTTCTTTTATGTCTTCAGAGAAAGGATCCTGTTTTCTGTTTTCCTTACATATTTTGGAATATTAAGATCTTGTGGTGACATTTACAGATCGATCTAATTTTTTCAGTCTAATAAGTAGTGTAAACATGTATTTGTTACACCCTCTTTACACATTATTTTGAAGAGCAGGACATTTTTTTATAAACCTCCTCATTTACTGGTCATATCCAAGATCGTGTGCTGAATGTGCCTAGTGCGGGCCTGACCCGCAGCCCCCATTACTCCTCTTTCCTTGTTCCTCTGTGCCTTTCTCCCCCGTGACTCTGTCTGTCTCCTGCCCGCTAGGTGTCCTGCGTCCCAGCCCACACTCTAGGGCCCCAGCTGAGTCCACGAGGACTTTGTGATCTTGCCAGAGTATAAAGCTTGCATCAGTTTGAATCTTTTCTCTTATTTTTTACCTCTGGTGATAGATACATAGAGAAGACTGAGGCCCCCAGAGCTCTGTGAGTTGAACTAGCAAAATAAGCATGTGAGACCTAGTAACCGTAGAATCCACCTTTCTAAAGACAGAATGTCATGGGGGCACCTGGGTGGCTCATTCGGTTAGGTGTCTGACTTCGGCTCAGGTCATGATCTTGTGGTTCACGAGTTCCAGCCCTGCGTCAGGTCCTGTGCTGACAGCTCCGAGCCTGGAGCCTGCGTCGGATTCTGTGTCTCCCTCTCTCTGCCCCTCCCCTGCTTGCGCTCTGTCTCTCTCTCAATAATAAATAATAAACATTAAAAAGACAGACTGTCTTTCCAGTCAGAAACCAGAAGATCCAGACTCCATGAAGACATTTAAAGGAACAGCACAGAAGCCCAGGGGAGACGGTCCGGGTGCTCGTAGCACTGGACGGGGAGAGTCCGGTGCCGCCTGTGCCAGTCAGAGGTCAGGCCCTCGGGTGGACACCACGGGGACCATCAGTCTGTATATACTTGTTCCCATTCCATGTTGCCACACAGTCTTCTGACCGTAACGGAGCCTGCATTTAGGGGTAGTTTTTGTAGTTGTATATGCACATAGGGGAAGGGACCGACAAGGCAACTTGGGGACAGCCCCCTAGTCTCTTCGGCAGTTGTGGCTCCTTGAGAATTAACATGTTGGCATCTGTGTTCATTTATGAGACTTTGAATATGTTTTAGAGCAGCAGTGCTTATTATTGCCTTGTGCTGCCTAGATGGACATCCTCCTGAAGAACAGACCGTACCGGGGCTGCAAAAGCAGAGGCCGGGCCCCCGTGGTGGCCCATTGGGCTACCAGCCTGCGGCCCCAGAGAGTAGGGCCCCTCCAGATGCTGTTGCACAAACACCAAAGTCCTGGTTTGTGGGGAAGGCCATGGTTTTAGATGTTTTCCCCATGACCATCCAGGAACTCCAAGTTCAGTGTAAGAGTATCTTAATCCGATGTTTGTTCTTGTCCCTCTTGTGCTTTGTTTGGAATTGAGCATTCACCTCCCTGAAATCGGTTCCCTATTTTGGGACCAAGAGACCCTGACTCATCTTGCCCTGCTTGTTACTAATAGGCATAATTTACATACATACATATGCACATACGTACATTTACTGGCATGCATATATTTACATGCATAATTTACACGGTAAAGCACTTTCTCTCTCCATCTGCTCCCCTCACGTGGGCGTCTCTTACGCTTCTCAGCTCACTGTCTTTCTCTTACGTGCTCATGCTCTGCAGGGGAAGTACTGTGACTGTTTTGGGATTTCAAGGAGGAAGAGAAAAAAAACATTCAAAAATCTATAGGAGGGGAAAAAAGGTGAGCTTCTGGAGAAATTAATACTGCTATTTAGGAAAATACAAATGATACACTGTTATACCTACAACTCTTTCTTTAAAGTTTGTCAGCCTGTGTCAAATATGTTGGGTTTGGAACACCTGGAATGCCATTAAAGTGTTCATATTTTAAGGTTTTAGAACTGAAATTCTGTCCTCAAATTGGACAAAGATTACAGGCAGAATAAACCACTTATAGGAAATTTGATAGACATTCCAATTTGTAAATGTTTTTCTATAAAATGTGTCATTCGAGTATCCTAGGCATTAATGACTTGCCATTCAGTCACCCTTGTCTGGGGAAGTTGTAAGTAGAGACTGTCATTAGCTCAGTGCAGGGACCTGAAGAGTCGCACACTGGCGGGTACAGGGACCAAGCACCCCCGGTGTGCTCCCTTACTGTCACTTCGCCTGATGCTGAATGTGACTCTTGCAGACCTCTGCCCCCTTTTCCATCAGGTGATGCCGGGCCCCTCCGAGCCAGCCAGACCCTCCCCCTCGCATGTACACTAACCTTGAGACGGCCCCACCTTGAACTTTGAGTCCTTCTCTCACTGCTCCTGAAGGCTCACCTGCTGTTCCCTGTAGCCCTTCTCTCGCCTTTCTCTCCTCTCCCAGTCACGGATGTAGCTCAGCCGGTTATAATTTGTAAGTTCCTAATCATTTTTCCTTTCTACTGGCTTGTCCCTTGATGGTCTTGAATGCCAGCGGATGTGTTGAGGACCCTTTCTTAGGGAACGGCTCCTGTTTTTCTGTGCCTTTCACCGAGTAGTTAGGTGGCTCTTTGGCGTATTAGGAACTGGGCAACACATTCTCCACCCTTCTCTGTTGTCACGTTGATTCGGGATCTGAGTTGGCAATATCTGGGACTGGAGATTCTCTGGCTTCTTAGCCCAGGTCTCCTGAAGTGTCCTAACCAGCTGCACCCTGGACATGCTGGCCTGGAAAACGGAACTTCTGCCTGAGCCTCGGGCAGCCAGGGGCTGCTGACATTGAGAAACATCGTCTCCACTTGTACAGCACTGATATTAAGAGTGGATTTGGGAGGTGAATATTTAAATTCGTTATAAATCCTTTAATTTGAAATTTTCACAGATTATTTTGGTACCGTGATAGACTGAGTTTGGAAAGTGGCCGGCAACATAGAATTTGTAAGTGCATCTAGTGCCTGTGTACTCGTTTCTTTTTTGTAATGAAACCCTTTAATAGAGTTAAAATTCAAGGAAGGAAAAAAATAGTTGCATTTTTTAAATAAGCATTCAGCTATTAGTAAAAAGCATTTTTGTATCTGTTACCCTAGTTACCAATCAGCTCTCCTGTAGTTCTAGAGAAAATGGGCTCCGTCATTCACAGTAATTCTGAAAAGTGGCGTTGGGGGCCGGGGTAGAGAAGAGAGCGGTACGGGGGGGTCTCGCAGAGAGGCAGGACGCGTTACTGGAAAGGCTGTTGTCACACCGGGTTTTGCAGGGTCCTCCACTAGATAGAAACCGTGCTTGATTGTGAGTGGGTGTTTTCTCTTAGCTGGGATACACGGTTAGCCAACCTAAGTGGGTGTCAGGACTACATTTGATCTTCCAGAAGTCTGCTACATTAGGTGCTGCTGTATTTGTACAGGGCTTAAAACTTTATGGAAAATAAACATAAGACATTTCCTATATTTGCAAACACCAACCGTATCTCAAAGAAATTGGGCAAAGAGAAGGCCAAATTTAAAAAAGTTTTTTTACTGTTTTTTTTGAGAGACAGACATAGTGTGAGTGGGGAAGGAAGAGAGAGAGGGAGACACAGAATCCGGAGCCCTGAGCTGTCAGCATAGAGCCCAACGTGGGGCCCGAACCCACAAACCCTGAGATCATGACCTGAGCCCAAGTCGGACGCATAACCGACTGAGCCACCAGGCGCCCCGAGAGGAGGCCACGTGTTCAAGTCCAGAGAAGCTGGCGGTGGCAGTGTGTGTACTGGGAGTGCGTCTATCCCTGCATCGGTGCCTTAGTTCTTTATAGCAGCCGAACATCGTAGAGTTTTTATAATGGCCTGGGCTTGGCTAGGGCTTAGATTGTACCCCATTTTGCTAAAAGCTGAGCTTCCCTGGAGACTGGGAGGCTGCTGGCCCACATCTGGAGGCTGTAACGTGGACGAACTGACATAAAAGGGTTGGAAGAGTGGAGTCCCAGAGGCCGGCAGAGAGACGGGGGTGGGATGCCAGTGGGCTCAGATGGGGGAGGTGGCGTGGAGAGGTACGGAGTGATGGGGCGAGACCTAGAACCTTCCTGGACGGCTGGATTCACTGCTCTGTTCCAGATCAACAGGAGGAGAGGTGGGGATGGATCTTTGAGTTTGTGAGCAGAGGCTTTGACCTTTAAAGTTATTCTAGTGGATCTGGGGGCTTCTCCACTGCCCTCCGCTCACAGATTATCTCTTTCCAACCACAGACGTGCTTTGAGGTGAAGCCATCTTTCCTCCCCTGCTTACCGCCGTGCCCCTCCTGCCCCTAAACCCAGAGCCACCCCCACAGTCTTTGTCCTGTCCAGTGCCCCTCTCCCACACCCCGGCCCTGTTCCCTGGTGATTTTCCTGCGGGACTTGAGAAGCCCTGGCCTTTTAACCACTTTGTTTCCTGCAGGAGTACTTGTTACTGAACTTGGAGAAACTGATGAAGCAGCACAGAAACTACAATTCAGAAAACTTAAAATTTAATGAGAACATTTAACATTACAGATAGTCCCTCTCTGAATAACTGTCATTCCACGCCTCCCTTCTCCGTGCCCGTCCACGCGGTCTCCCCCTGACGCGGGCACACTCTGTGCTCGTCCACACGGTCTCATGTCACATGCAAGTACTTTCCCTCCACCCTGAAAACACTCCATCCTCACAGATTACAGGCCATTTTTAAGGAGTTTTATAGTCACATGGATTTTTAGAAGCAAGCCCTCCCAGGAGGATAGGATAACCCTGTGGAATTAAAAAAAAAAAAAAAAAATAGAATGAATTTTTTGAAAAGCAGTGGTACCACCCCCATTCCATAAATTGCTATATTTTTCTTAAGCCTTTGAGAGTCTGTGTGATGTTCTAGGGAGCAAGTTGAACAGCTCCTCAGAGACTAAGGCTTTTGTCCATGAGGAGCAGACTTCCCATTTGTTAGACCACCGTCTCTGTCAAGCATTTTTGTGTGTGGTAACTGCTTCGCTCCGTTTCTCCCTTTGTCTTTACTTTCAATACTATTCCTTTGTTATTTTGAATATATACTTGTGAATTACCATTGAGTCCAGTTTTAGAATAAGACGCGGTATAAGTCTATCAAATATGCCTGGAGAGTTTTATTTTCTGATAAGTAAAGAATCCCCACTGCTGGTAGGAGCTTACTGCTCAAACAGTGACATTTTGGGGGTTTCCATTTCCTATTGAACCTGCGTGGGGCTCCCAGGGCATTGAATATTGCTCCCAGAACGTGGTGTGCAGGTGACGATCGTGAATTCAGTCCAGCTGATTAATCAGCGTGTGTACCCAAAGTAAGCAGTGTCCTAATTGATTCCCTTTCTGGGGACTTGAGCACTAAGTGGTCCCTGAGGAGCCACCTGCCTTCTCGTCTCTGTTTCAAAGCCCAGCTTTACAGTCAGAACTGCTGCAGCAGCTCATTTCCACTCATTCCAGAGCTAAATAACCTTCTCTGAAGTTACCTGTTATCTGCCCACCAACTTGAATGATTACTTGGATTGATCCTAAAAGGCCATTGTAAACCTCCATCTTGAAATTCAGTGACCACCAAGCACAGGTCTAATGGGTGTCCTTACAGAATGAGCGCAGCCATTGATTGCTCTGAGTCCGCTCAAAGCCAAGGGTAGCGACTCACCTGGCTACACAGGGTGCAGGTGAAGCCCTTGCAAAGATTTTTGAAAACTACCCCATCGCCTGCCCACGTTTTATAGAGATGAGTTGTTTCAGTCACCTGATTCCCGTGCTGCAGTGACATGCATTTGCTCACGACGCAGGTGGACGTGGGTGTGGTGCGCTTCACGCCCCTGACGCGGCCCCAGATCGAGCAGCCTTTCAAGCTGGTGGAGAGAGTTGTGCAGAATGCATTTCAGTTCCGGAGGAAATACTGCTATCGAGGCCTGGGGTAAGAACGCTTTCTTCTGTTAGCCACACGCTTTCTACAAGCCTAATACTTTTAAAGATGAAGGACTTTGTTTTTAGGATTCTTCAGGCTGTCTGTGAATGCTCCCCTTAAGGGGAACAAAGCTTGACTGCCACAAGGAAACAGCCAAACGGGGATCTAACCCGGGTGCACCGACACCAGCCCAACCTGAAAGGACAGTCACACGATGCGTCGTGGGGGCCAGGACTTCTTCTCCAGGGAAGATGGCGCCAACTGGTTTTCACACTCAGCACTTCTGACCTGAATGTGTGACACTAGCCAGCCAGGTGTCACGCAGTTCAAGTCTGACACTGACCACAGAGTCGCACACACCCTGTAGGTTAAGGGTTCGGGGCCGCAAGACCACCCTCCCCCTTCAGATGCTTGTCACAAGTCCCAGGTGCCACTTGTATTATTTTTTAATGTTTATTTTTGAGAGATTGACCATGAGTCGGGGAGGGGCTCAGGAAGGGAGACAGAAACCGAGGCAGGCTCCAGGCCTCAGCACAGAGCCCGGTGCGGGGCTTGAACCCACAAACTGCGAGATCATGACCTGAGCTAAAGTCAGGTGCTCAACCGACTGAGCCATGTAGGCACTCACCACTTGTATTTCTGACCCACAGGCTATCAACTGGGGATTTCTGGGGTTTGTGTGACCACCCCCCACCCCCCACCATTTCAGGTTCAGTAACTTGCTAGAATGGCTCACAGAGCTCCTGAAAACCCTTTCACTTATCAGTTTACGATAAAGGCTAGAACTTGGGACTTTCAAGTGGAAGAGATGAAGGGCGGGGTTTGTGTGGGAGCCAAGGGCTCCTCTCTGGGCTCATCACCCTCCCGGCCCCTCAGTTTTCACCAACCCGGAAGCTCTGTGAACCCCGTCACTTACGGGTCTCCCCGGATGTTCCGTTAGGCACCGCTGGTGGAAAGCACTGGCCCCCGGTGACTGAGCTCGGTCTCCAGCCCCTCTCCTCTCCCTGGGGGGGGGGGGGGGGGGGGGGCAGGGAGGACTGAAAGTTCCAACCTTCTGATCAGGGTGGTTTCCTTTGGCGCCCTTCCCCATCCTGAAGCTCTCGGGTGACCCGCCAGGTGCCCCCTCAGCCCAAACTCAGGTATAGTTGAAAAGGGGTTTTTTAGGAATAACAAATATGCTGTCACCCTATCCAGAAATTAAAGGTTTTTAAAGCTCTTTGTAGGAACCTGGAGCAAAGGCCAAATGAACGTATTCTCACACTATCTGGGTTTTCTAAACGCTTTCTTTCCATCAAGCTGCTGTAGGACACAGCTAGACAGCAAGTGTGACATCAGAGCAGCCAGAATGACATCAAGTATTCATACAGCGCACTTTTATTTAATGGGGGCCCGTCTGTTCCGCCATGCTCACTGCTCTGCACACGCACGTGGCCCCTGGCAGCAAACCCAAACTGAATGTGGAGGCTTCCGGGCCACTTGCCTCCAAAGGCCCTGCAGTGACCACAGTGATAATTTATATCCGGTGGCAGCCAAGAAAATGTTTAACTCGGCCTGGAGGGGGAGAGGGAGGGGGGTGTGCGTGCATGTGTGTGTGTGAAAAAGCCTGCCACTAATTTAGTCAGCCTTTAGCTGAGTAAAGGGGCCTGGCCTTGTAGGCATGCATTTCCCATTTTTCCCATTTTCTAAAAACCCCCTTGTATGAAAAGCTCCACCTCTTCCTTTTCCAGTTTTGTGACGTGTCCCCTTAGCACACGATTTCAGGAACGGCCGGCCAGCTGCATCCTGAACCACCCCCAGAACTCGCTCCTGGGCACTTGAGCGGACTCACGTTCAGTCCCAGGCTTGCCGTTTGCTGACAAATCAGGCTGGGTTTAAACTTCTCTAGCGGAGACTGAAGGAGCTGGGGATGGACCCCACTGGCTGGCCCGGTGCTGGTTAGGATGAAGGCCACAGGCTCCGGCCTGGACGCTTCCCTTCCACGCAGGCTGTGGCTCAGACAACTAACTGTACGTGATGACTGTGATTTCATGCAGGGGAAGAAAAGATCACAAAAAGCACATTTTGCTTTTGGTAAATCCTGAAATTGGCCTGAGCCCAGAGCTGGCCTTGTGCGTCCAGGCTAAGTCATGGGCCTCTTCATTTCACGTACACAGTCCCCTGTGCAGCTAGGGACCCCAAATAGTGTGACCCACTTGGACCTGTTGGGTGTCCTTCAGTCACATACACCCACAAATTGGTCTGGGGGATCAAACCCCTCCTTGCCATGAAACTGAACTCTGAGATCACGGCTCGCCTGGACACTGTAGGGACCATGACCATGAGCCTGTGAGAAAAACTCCATCTCCACCGGCCATGGCGTCTGAGCTCCGGAGAGCCTCCAACTGTTGAGAAAAGAAAGAAAATCCAGGTGTAGCTTTCCAACATTTAAGTCAGTTTGTCATTCATTTTAAAACCGTGGTCTGGCTTGGTTAGATGAAATTTAAAATACATACTTCAAATCAATTTTAAAGATGCCTCAAGGTAAATCTAAAAGAGGGAACGATCTGTTTGCATTTTCACATCACCGGTTTTCTAACTTTGCAAAGAGAGGTCATTCTCAGGGTTGGTGGGGGGGGGGGGGGGGGGGGGGGGTGTGTGTGTGTGTGTGTGTGTGTGTGTGTGTGTGTGTGTGTGTGTGTGTGAATGGTTCTAAAGGCTAAGTTCAAATTATAGAGAAGAAATTAGACAAGTTTCATATTAAAATATGTGGCGAAATAGAGGCAAATCAAATGTTTCTCTAAGAATGCAACCGAGCAGATGTTACTTTAAACGATACTTGTACTGCCGGAGCTTTGGAACTTACCTTCCCGGTGGACATACGGCACAGGACACATTAGCTCTGCCTTCAGCGGCCTTCGTGCCTGGTGGCGAGTCCGAGACCCCTGCCCGCCGGTTCGGAGCCACGCCAGCCTGTCTCTCCTTCCAGTGGTCAGTTGTCCAAATGATGTCAAACGGGAGTAGGAGGCATGGTGACTTACGGAGTTCCCGGAGTAAAAGTCGGATTCTTTTCTCTCCTCAGAATGTTATTCCCTGAAGTTCAGCGCGTGGAGAGCACTGAGAAACTGCTAGAGTTGGCGGACGTGGACCCTACCCTTCGACCCAGCCAGCTCTCTGTTTCCCATTTTAAAAGCCTCTGTGATGTGTACCGGAAAATGTGTGATGAAGACCCACGCCTCTTTACTTATAATTTCAGAGAAGAACTCAAGCAAAATAAAAGCAACAACCCGGAAAAAGAGAACGACCAGGAGAGATCCAGACTATAGCTGCTGCTTCGGCGGCGAGCAGCTTTCCAGATGCTGCTTTTCACAGTGTTGAGCTGCTCACACGTGTACTCTGTGGCCTATGGACGGACAATAAAAATACGATTTCCAGATGCGACTTATTTCCCTTTTACTGTCTTGGTAGAGAAAATACTCCAAATAACATACAGTACAAGCTTTCTTTTAATATATATACTGCATAGATAGGACATGTTCAGTATAAACAGCATCTATTACAACCTTACAAAAATGAAATATCTGCACATTGTGCCCCTCACCCACGTGAAAATAAATATGCTTTAAATAAAGCAGAAACTAACAGCTCAAAGAAAATGCCCAGAGGATTGGGGGAGGGGGGAAATGACCTTTTAAAAACTATTAATCACAACTCCCCCATCTTTTCCCACATAAATTAAAATAGACTGCAATTTTAAGGATCCTAAGTCATTTTGATACCTGCTCAAAAGGGATATAAACTAAGTAATTTACAGTTTCTTACAGATTCTGATCAGTTTAATCTAGTTTTCTGATCTACAATAAATTAAAATAACTTAAATCTTTACAACTATTTCGTGGGAAAATGTATGCTGCACAAAACCCAGTAACGAATAGTTTTTCTGCAATTTCCACTTTGCCACCAGTTTAGAAGTAAAACAAGCCATTTAACCCTTGTGGGGCGGACACTGTACTACGACTTTCCGTGGCTCCCCGTTTCGTAAAAACACTCCTCGTTGACGACCGACGTTAAACTCTGGACGCTGAACTCTCGCTGCAGAACGGAACTGAGATCGAGGTTGGCATTTTCAGACTGACTGTCGAGGGACTGGTGCCGGATCTGGGCCTTGAGCAGAGTGCCCCTGTCCCGTTTGGTGCTGTTGGCTTTTCGTTTGATGGCGCAGAAGTGGCCCCGGACCAGCCTGGGCGGCTCGCCGTGGGGCCGCCGCTCGGCCGGGTTCGCGTCCGCCTCGTCTGAGATTCTGAGTCTCTGGAACTGAAGTTCAATGTCTTTGGTGGGGCTGCCCCGCCTCGGGGTCTGGTGGTAGTCGTCGTCCTCGTCACTCAGAATGTCGCTCTCTTTGATGAGGCCGGGGGAGAGGTGGGCCGGGCCCGCCGGCGGGTGTCTCGGGGAGTCCTGTGCTCCCCCGGCCGGGGCACAGCCGCCGCTGTGCGTGCCGCTGCTCAGGCTCCCCTCGTCCGAGTCCAGGGAGCTGCCCCGACCCGGCTCGCCAGGCCACTCGCAGCTCGACGAGTTCTTGAGGACTCTCAGGGACCTGGAGGACGCTGCAATGACAAAAGCACGCTTCCCTTCAACCGTGGAGAAGCGGACTCCACGATGAAGTTTCCGCACTGCCCGCTGTAAGAGCTAACGTCCTAATCACTTCTCACTTCTGTTACCAACTATCCTGGGACTTGGGCAAAAAAAAAAAAGAAAAGATACTGCAAATTTTTTTACATAGGTTTATTTCACATTTTATGCTGGAGGGTTTGGCATTTTAATTTAATGACCATTTTTTTAAATAACTTTTTTTTTAATGATTATTATTTTTGAGAGACAGAGCAGCGGAGCGCCGGAGAGGGGCAGAGAGAGGGAGACACAGAATCGGAAGCAGGCTCCAGGCTCTGAGCGGTCAGCACCGAGCCTGACACGGGGCTCGAACCCATGACCTGTGAGATCATGGCCTGAGCCGAAGTCGGATCCTTAACCGGTTAAGCCACCCGGGCGCCCCAAGGGTTTGGCATTTTCAGATGACCAATCACCGGAGCTCAGTTGGTGAACATCGAATAAGGAGCTATAAACTGTGACCAGGGCTAGGATTGTTAGTCTGCCAATGGATACATGGAAAAGTCAGTTACTAACAAAACCTACGTTCCTTTCTTTCTCAGGAGCACTCTGTAATCTGATAACCGGATTCTACCACAGTGCTCTGCCTGTCCTCCGCTTTTTCCCCTTGCTGCTCAATTAAAAGTAAAAAATGCCCTTATCACTCAGAGGACAGTCTCTGTTGGCATTTCTAGTTAACTTTCAGAGACTTAATGGGTTTAATTCCTCACTCTTGGGTTGAAGGGAACAGGGGACTCTGGGCTGCGAGGTTTCTGCAGACAATCACAGCACGTTTTGATGGCTATAGCGTATTCTGGCAATAGAGGGAAAATATCTATATATATGCAGTAAATTTGAAGAGGTCAAGTTAAGAGGACCTCTTAAGCGTCCAACTTCAGCTCAGGACATGATCTTGTGTTTCATGAGTTTGAGCCCCACGTCGGGCTCTGTGCTGACAGCTCAGAGCCTGGAGCCTGCCTCCCATTCTGTGTCTTCCTCTCTCTCTGACCCTCTGCTGCTTGCACTCTTATCTCTGTCTCTCAAAAGTAAATAAATGCTAAAAAATTTCAAAAAGAATAAAGAGAAGTATTTTAAAAGACTACAAACAAGATCAAAGATCCTAACAAAATAGTTAATATAGAAAGACGGTTAAAACAGACTGAAATTTTAAAAAGCAAGCAAAAATCTTAAGCACGATTTTGAATGTTTACTTGCCGACACGCTGAGTGGATCAAAAGATCTCCGTTCCTCGAGCAGTGACTTTCTAGATGCCCTGAGCTGTTGTGAGCCGCCGCCACCCCCCCCCAATCTCGGGGAAGAAACAGGTGACACGGTGACTGAGCTGTGCCCACTGGTGGTAAGAGGCGGCCTTGGGCTTGGGCGTGGTCACAGTTTACTACAAGGTGTGGGAGCAAAGGCACTTCAGGGTTCTTACAAGGAAACAACCGCTACCACCTTGTCACACCACCCGCGGACTCGGGTCTGCTTTAGAGCTTCCAGCCCCCCCCTCCCCACTTTACAAGGTGATGACTCACTGCTCTATTACATGAACACACATCCTTGTAGACGAGCTCAGAATGTTTTCCCAAACAAACACAAGGCCAGTGAAGTTCTCACCTAACTTGGCCGAAACAGGAACTCGGTTCTTAAGAGGTACCAGGCGATCCTTACACATTTTCTCCAGGGGTAAGTCACACTTTATGTGGCGCCGGAAGTTCTCCCTCAGGATAGATCGAATGACCTTGACGATGCTGGTTTTGCTTTCGCTGTCACTGGGGAGGAGAGGAGAGGAAACAGCGGTACCGTCCAGCGTCATGCTTTGAGCCCCCATGCCCTGGTCCTTCCGTGTCCCATCACTGATCTCAGGACAGACAGACGGCACGTCACCCAGCCGGTCTGTGCCTTGGTCTCCTCACTTACAAAAAAACAGTGTGAAGTGATGGCTCTTGAAGTGGCTTTGAGCACAAAGATCTGGATATATATTTAATCAGCGTATTGGATTACGGGCACAGTTGCCATGGGCGGGGAGGGGGGCTGGGTGTGAACCCCAAGTCTTCACAGCTCAGGAGGGTGCTAAAATTACACTCCCTTCTCTGAGAGACCCTAATTCTGCCTTATGCCCGCGGCCTTTAATCTCTGGGGGTAGTAATACCTGCAGCACAGCTGAAAGATGGTTTCCGGCCGTCCTTCCACTTCTGACTTCGTATGGATCAGTTCCCACAAGGAATTATTTTCCGGCCCTGTGCGAGAGGAACGAGGGTCTGCACCTTTGCCAAAGATGCGAAGTTTAAGAAAACTCCAGTCCGGTGTTCCCTGCCCTGAGTCTCATTTTCTTCTGAGGCTCGTTCTATGTTGGACTTTCACAACTAGTTTTCAAAAGCTAAATAACGTACGTTTTAGTTATTTCTTACGTTTCCTGGTTGTTTTCCATCAATCGTAACACGCTTTCTCCCTAGCCCTGGATTCCATCTCTCTAGGAAGCAGATTAATGGAACCTGTTTTTCAACCCCATTCCATTCACTGTATTCCTTGGAAGGAACAGTCAGATATGCTCAGGTACCTGCGGTGAAAGAGGCCAGCCTGGGGTCGGTGGTTCTAGGAAACGCGAGCAGTTCACACGACAAGTAAAGGGACCCGGAGCACCGCCGTGTGCGCCGGCCTGCCGATCCCCACTCCCCCCAGAGGCATCGTCACCAGAACACGGTTAGTCTCCCGGGATCTCTGAACATTCTCTAAGGCTGAGGATATTTTTTCCCCCTAATATCACATATAATACTGCTTAATCCTAAGAACTTTTCTGAATTAACAAAAACTCGTAAATTTGTAGACCTTTCTTTAACAAATTTGAGGGTATCGAGGATATCAGGCAGAAAACAATGTTGAAAACCACTGAGGGTGAAAATAAGGAAACAATGAAGAGAGATACTTGGCAAAGAAAAGCCGTCCATTGGCATCTACTTTCTCCAAAAGTCCGTTAAAAAGAAAACTTCAAAACAACCTCTCTTGTCCTCATTTTCCTTGCCTATAACACAAAACCCAAAAATTATCCCCAAAGTTCTTTCCTGGTTTTCCTGGCCGCCCCCCGCACGGACGCTTACCTGCTGTGTTCCCCAGGCGGACCTGAAGCGCTGATATGGGGATCAGCCAGCGGAACTTAAATGGATCCAAGTCGCCAGAGCCATGCGCAGGCCGGGAATTGGAGGGCTGGAATATGAAAGCCCCCCGAGAAAAGTGTGAAAACACGCTCTCGCCCAGAGAGGAGGTGTGTGTGAGGGGGGTGTGCGTGGGATGGCAGCTTTGAGTTCTCCCTGTGGGCAGGGTGAGTGTTCAGGGTGCTGACTGAGCCCAATCAGGTCAGGTCCCCGTTCTCAGCTCACAGGGTGCGCGGCGAGAGGGGAGAGTGGGGTTAAGGGGACAGAGACCTCGAGACCACAAGCAAGAATGACCACCAGCCTCCTGTGTCCCCATCAGCTCTGAGCAGTAATGACTGACGGCTTCTTAGCTTCAGCTAAGCTGCTTGGTTGGTGGGTTGGTTCTGAGCCAAGGTAAAAGTGATTTGAAAATAACCAAAGTTACATGGTCTCTCGTGTCCGGGGCAGATATGGGCCATTTCAGGGATATGAAAGCTGACGTTCTATGTAAGCCCCAGCACAGGTTATCTGTCTGTGTCTTCTTTTAAGACAGGTATCATTTGTGGGGAGAACAAGAAATACCCTGAGTATCTGAGTGGGTCAGTCACCCCAGGAATGAGTCACACTCTACGTCAAGCGAGGCTGTGGCCCTGAGCAGG